CCGGGGCAGCAGCCCGAGGTCCCGGCGCGTCCCCGAACCATGCCGGTAGCCGTGCTTCTCTGCGCGCTATGCTGCGGCCTCTTGGCAGTGTCTGCTCGTGCCGGTTACTCCGAGGACCGCTGCAGCTGGAGGGGCAGGTACGGTCCCCAGGAGGGACTGTGGGAGGGGTTTTGTCATCTTCTATTGGGGGCCTCCCTCCCACTGGGAACTGAGGCAGCACAGACCTCAACGTCCTGTTCCACAGAGTGGACGCAGGTGTTGGTAGCTGCGGGAAAGGGGGTGAGCCGCCTAGGGGAACAAGGGCCACCTGCCTGAGAACCACCGTCCTGTCCTCAGCGGCTTGACCCAGGAGCCCGGCAGCGTGGGGCAGCTGACCCTGGATTGTACTAAGGGCGCTGTCGAGTGGCTGTACCCAGCCGGGGCGCTGCGCTTGACCCTGGACAGCCCCGATCCGGGCACGCGGCCCAGCATCGTCTGTCTGCGCCCAACGCGGCCCTTCGCTGGTGCCCAGGTCTTCGCTGAACGGATGGGCGGCAACCTAGAGTTGCTTCTGGCCGAGGGCCCAGACCTGGCTGGCGGCCGCTGCATGCGATGGGGTCCCCGCGAGCGCCGGGCCCTTTTCCTGCAGGCCACACCACACCGCGACATCAGCCGCAGAGTTGCTGCCTTTCGTTTTGAGCTGCATGAGGACCAGCGTGCAGAAATGCCTCCCCAGGCCCAAGGTCCTGGTGTAGAAGGTGAGTGACCAGACTGACTGAGGAGAAGGTTGGTGTCTGGAAGTGGCGTTCTAACCAGGCCTTGACACCCCACCGCACAGAGGTTCCATCCGTAGCTTGACAGAGACCACTCTGTTGGAGAGTGGCTTCCAGGTCATAGGGAGGTGGATTGGGAGCGTTTCCTCCTTTTCCTCCTCCTCAGGGTTCATTTTAGGGAAAGAGCAAGAGGGAGCAAATTCAGGAGAGGCCACCCTTGGGCCTCTGGTGTCTGGAGGGTTGGGGGAAGGGGTGTACTGGGGTAGAATCAAAGCCTATGGCCAGAGCTGTCCAGGGCTCCCTGGCCTGGTGGTGACCTCCCTCCCCTCCCCCAGCCCAGCCAACAAAAGTCCAGTGTGCCTCTTCGTCACCATGGAGACGCCTGCCCTGCCTCCCTGCAGGGCACCAGGCCCAGTGCTTTGCTCTTCTGAATCTTGCAGCCTGACCCTGCAGGGGATGGCTCTAACTGTTCTGTCCTAGCTGGGGAACCCCAGAACAAGAGTTCACCAGACTGTCCTGCCACCCTAGCTGGGCCTGGGAGGCAGCTCTGAGAGGTCATAGAATGTTCTTTGGCATTGGTATGAGTTTACTACGAGATGGGTGTGCAAGAATGTGTGTGAGGCACCGAGGTGTCCATCAGTAGGCATTTGCCTGCAGGGTGCGCCACGACTCCTGGTGTCTTCAGGCTGTACGGTTGCTGGGAGAAGGGTTTAACCACCAGCTCTGGAGCCTTTTCCTGCTGGGAGGAGCTGTGGGCTTGTGCTGAGAGAGCACAGGCCTGGCTGATGACCTGCCTTGCATGCTAGGTGCCTGCAGGCCCTGCAGTGATGCCGAGCTCCTTCTGGCTGCATGCACCAGTGACTTCGGTGAGTATTCCTGTTGTGGGGGAGCTTAGAGTCAGCCCCACATTCCCACATGCCCGCCACTAGCTCCCGTGTCTCTTCACAGTGATCCATGGAACCATCCATGGGGTCACCCATGACATGGAGCTGCAAGAGTCAGTCATCACTGTGGTGGCCACCCGTGTCATCCGCCAGACACTGCCCCTGTTCCAGAAAGAAGGCTCCGAGGGCCTGGGCCAGACCTCCATTCGTACCCTATTGCGCTGCGGTGTGCGTCCTGGCCCAGGCTCCTTCCTTTTCATGGGCTGGAGCCGATTTGGCGAAGCCTGGCTGGGCTGTGCTCCCCGCTTCCAAGAGTTCAGCCGTGTCTATACAGCTGCCCTTACAGCCCACCTCAACCCATGTGAGGTGGCACTGGACTGAGAGACCTGGGAGCAAGTCCCTGCCAGACCTTCTGCTGGGAAATGGGGTACTGGGGAGGGGTGGTAGGAAGGGTGTGGCTCAGATGGCATCCTGGTACCTGCAGTGAGTTGATAGAATACTAAGTAACTGGATGACACCAACCACTGTAGACTTGGTCTTCTGTGGCACACCCAACTCTGCTCCGGCCTCACTTTACTTGCTCTCCCCTCTGTTGCCCTCCTAACCCTTCTTCGCCTGCCTGCCCTGTTGACCCAGCTGACCAATGAGTCTGTTTTCCTCTAATCCAGGGTGCTCCTGGGGCTGAGTGCAGGAGTGCTGAAAATCTCAAGACTTGGGCTACTTGGGGTTCTTTAGGTGACCTGGGGGGCAAGCAGACAGACATCACTTCCCGCTCTGAACGAGGTCCGTTAGGGAGGAGTGCTGTAGTCTGGCGATGTGCCATTCCCTTCCATGGTCGTTGTGAGCCATACAGTCATCCTTGGCCTGGTCCCGCCCTTGGGGAAGAATGGGCCCCTCTGTCCGGAGGCCCCTGCGACGTGCTGAGCATCCAGACATGGCAAAGCGCCTGCAGGGTGTGGGGTCTCCATTGCAGGATTCTGCTTGTTCGTTTCCGGCGGGATAAGTGCACAATGGGGTCTCTAAGGACTGCTTCCCGCCGCTGGCCCCATTGTTGCCATCCCTGCCTTCCTCCTGGGCCTCTTTATTTTGTAAAGGGCTAGTGAGACCCTGGACAGACAAAGCCTGTGGCCTGAAAGCCCTAAAGTGAGGTGTGTGCCCTAGGTTTCTCAGGCCCCAACCAAGCACATTCCTGCCACCTCTCTCTCATGATTCTGAGAAACTGCTTCAGCTCCAGTGCTGAGTGAAGTGGAGTGGGGGTCCAGAAATGGCTTTCTGTCCTTGCATGCCCCCCTTTAAGGCTTTCATCCATCATCAGTCCCAGTGGGTTGTTCATTCTTTGGTAGGAAACAGGCTGAGAGAGGGGCAAGGCTGGGCAGGGACCAGACATATGGTTCCTTGCTCCAGACTGTGCCAGTGAAGGTACCTGGTGGTGACACACCCTATATAGGCCCTGGAACGGCTACCTTGAAATGTTTATAGGCAGATAGCTTAAATCACGCCTGTATATTCTGGGGGTGGGCAGAGAGCATGCCACCAGTACTTAGACTGCCTGCTTATGGAGTGGGAGGGGCGATGAGGGCCAGAGATCGCTCTTGGAGAGCAGGTGATGCCATTTTCTTCCATCTGCCTCAGAACTGGCTTCCTGCTACTTGCTCTCATTTTCCCAAACTCCGTGAAGTGCTAAGGGCTTACCCTGGCACCTTTCCATCTGGGTGTAGGGGAAGACTGGGCCAGTGGCCTCATGTTTGCTCCAGGGATCAAGTGACAAAGGCCTCCAAAGTGGAAGCAGGGATGGGGGAGTGGCGTGTGGGAGCAGGTGGGCTAAAATCACAGGAGCTAGCCTGGGAAAAACCTGTGTGGACCAGAGGACCAGGGGGCTCTGTGTGGGTGCCAGTGTCAGGTAGAGTTGCCAGCGCTTTCTGGGTGCTTTAGGCTGGAGAATACTGCCAGGAGCAGCAGACAAGAATAGCTGTGCTCAAGCAGCCCTGTCTAGAATTCAGTGTGTGGGAGAGGGAGGGCTGCGCTCCAGTTCTCCCAGTGGCCAGATTCTGAGCTGGGTAGAGCAGAGCCTCTCTTCACAGAATACGCATACTCCTGCTGCCTTGGGACACCCGTCCTTCAGATTGTTTTGGAGGAAAACACTGCACCTGGGTGACAGGGTAGTGGTCTTGGGCACCTCAATTTGGAAGTCATCACGGTCTCTACTAGAGAGAGTTGAGGAGAATCAGGACAGGACTGTGCATAGACAAGGAGGAACTGACATTCATGGCCATTTGGCTTTAATGTGGGTGGTCGGGTCCAACAGATTGACTCAAGGCTCTATCTGTTTCCATGCAGGGCCTTACTAGGAGTTACTCAACCCTTTATTTTTGAAGGAAGGAGATCTTCCGGGCTCCTGGGCTGTCTTTCACCCCAGGCTGGGCCAGCTGCCAGCACCCAGCCTCTCACATCCGGCCCCCTCCCTCCACACTCACTAGAGAGCCTACATCTGTCTGTATCTACCCGCCCCTCTCCTTCGACCCCAGAACACCCTCTATTTTCTTCCTAATTGTCGTTACTGTCGGAGGGACTGGAAGGATGTCCTCCGTGGGTTGTTTATGGGTGTTTGGTAGGCTTTCAGAAAGTCTTGGTCAGCAGAATCCTCAAAAGAATGACTTCCAGTTACAGTGGCCCTGGTTTTAACCCGGGGCTGCGCGGGAGGAACGGTATGGCCTCGGGGATCCAGACCAGAGATTCCATATAGTTGTCTTCAGGGTAGACCCAGAGGCTAGCCGCTGTAGATCCTGGACCATAGACCCACGAGGGGCAAACTCTCTAAGGTTCGCCTATCGCCTGGGTCATTGGGACTCGATTACCATCACCCGGAACCCACGGGAGGGGCCACGCCCGCTTGGGCGGGGAAGAATGAGTGACGGACGGGCCGGACGGTCCCCCTCCACTTCCGGCGTTTGATACCGGCTTCTACTTAGACTTAATGCAGTCGTTGCTGCGACTGGGTTAGGCGCCGAGCAGAGACTACGGCTCAGGCCGGGGGTAACCGGGAGGGCAGCTGCCTCCAGTTCTCGGCTGGGGGCCTTGGGAGGGACGGCTCTGAATTGCGTATCTCTCAACCATGGATCACGACGACCCGGCCGAGGCGTTGACTGCGCTGCGCGAGAGGCGGCCGAGTTTGCTGGAGCTATTGCAAGTGGCGACAGGCTCCGGGTTGGTTGCCTACACCGTGTGGGCGCTGCTTCTGCAGCCGGGCTTCCGTCGTGTGCCTCTAAAGCTGCAGGTGCGATGCAGAACCAAAACTAGTGCGAGATCAAGGGGAGGGACTAAGGCTACCGTAAGTGGCTTGTAAAGATGGGCGGGACCAATTACGGTGAGGGACCGAATGGACGTACGGAGAGGTGGAACTAATATTATGTTGCAGGGCCTGGGCCTGTCGTCATGACCAAGGGTATATAAATGAAGCTAGGACTGAATTACTGACGGGTTACGGGCAGTGGTGTGTGAGGAGGGTGGGTGGGGCTGCACTGGGTATGGCAGATAGCTAAGGAAGGAAAGCTAGTAAGGCACGCAAAGGTCTTCAACCTGGTGCTTCGGTTTGTTCCTTTTCCACCAAATTCCTTTTCCAGGTGCCCTACATTGGTGCGAGTGCTCGGCAGGTTGAGCACGTGCTGTCGCTGTTACGAGGCCGCCCTGGAAAAATGGTGGATCTAGGCTCTGGTGATGGCAGGATCGTAAGGCCTGTGTGTCTGTTCGTCGTCCCTCCCGTGGTGGCCCCTTCCTTACATCCAGGTCCCACACTCTTGGCTCTCATAGGTGCTGGCGGCCCACCAATGTGGTCTCCGTCCAGCTGTGGGGTATGAGCTGAACCCGTGGCTTGTGGGACTTGCATGGCTGCATGCCTGGAGGGCTGGTTGTTCTGGGAGTGTCTGCTACCATCGGAAAGATCTTTGGAAGGTAACCTGTCACACTTCATTTTCTTTTTTTCTTTCTTTCTTTTGTTTTAATCTTTTTTTCTTTTATTTTATTTTTTCTGAGACACAGTCTCTAGTCCAGGCTTATCTCAAACTCACTATGTAGCCTAGGATTACATTAAAATCCTGCCTCTACCTCCTGAGTGCTAGGATTACAGGCCTGTACCATCAGACCTAGTTTATCCAGGGCTTTGTATATGCTAGGCAAGCACTCTATAGACTGAGTCATATTGATAGCTCAGATACCTTTATCTCCCAGGTTTCATGCTCTGAGTGCTACTATACTGATACCTTGGTGGGCTGGAGGCCAGAGCTCAGTGACCCCATGCCTTCCAGCTTTTATCTTTGTTTCCTGCAGGTGAGCCTCAGAGACTGTCACAATGTGTCTGTGTTCCTGGCCCCCAGTGTGGTAGGTCTTGGGTCTGCTGTTCTGCTGGGAGGTCAGGGCTACACTCTTGGCTCTTGGCTGCTCTGATGCCTGGAATAGGTTCTGGGCCTACATGGGTGGGGCAGCTTTTTCTTACCCGCTCCTGTGCCCTCCTCCCCCCTGTTGTTCTCACAGCTCCCACTGCTGGAAGATAAGCTGCAAAAAGAACTACCTGCAGGGGCCCGTGTGGTATCTGGACGTTTCCCCCTTCCCACCTGGCAGCCTGTAGCTGTGGTGGGTGAAGGCGTGGACAGAGTCTGGGCCTATGACGTCCATGGTGCTGGGCCAACTGTGTCTTCTTGCGGGGTGCCCAGCAAGGCCATCCCAGAGTCCAGTTCTACCTCCATCCCTAGGACTTTAGTTTGACAGGCTGGTTGACTGAATATAATAAAGACTCTGTGAGTTCAATCCTGACTCATCACTCCATGGAATAGGCTGTGCAGCAGATGCCATGCTGGCTGTGAAGAGGTTTGATTTGTGCTGCCTCTGGGAGACTAGCTAGCTAGTGACTCCGGGTCCTTGGGCGCCGGGGCCTAGAGGAAGGTATAGCTTCTACTCCCTGGGGATCTCCTGTCTTCACCAGCTTCCTCAGTCTCTGGATTTCCTGCTTGTACCTGATGGGGATGACCAGACCAATCACATGTGCGGCCATGGGTTCTTTCCCTTCCACCTAGATCAGGGCCCTGGGGTCACACCCAGCTTACCTGCCCAAGTGCTGGTCCACATACTCCTGTAGCTCAGAAAGCTGCTGTTCCGCCATGGTGGCCCGGACCATCAGCTGTGCCCGCTCTCGTTCAAGCTCTACCTGGTGGAGGAATGAGTCATGAGCCAGGGCAGGATGTAGGGAAGGGGTTCCCATCTTGTCTACTACCTGGGTATCCTGGGAGAAGTCCCGCAACTTCTGCTGGATTTGGGACCAGGATGTAGTATCGCGGGCCCTGTGAGGGGAGGAGGGCAGGAGGAGCAGTTTCCAAGGTAGGCATAATACCTGCTGTGTGGTGTTAGGACATTATAGCACTACCTGGGGCCCTGGAGTATCTGTACCAGCAGAACACTCTGGCCAGCTCAGACTAGGTGCCTCCCCCAGTCCCTGGGAGATGATGTTCCAAGAGCCTGCCTGCTATAGAGCAGGTATAGAAGCCCAAAGCCAGGGCTGGCCATGTCATCAGACTTAGCTCCCACCAAACTTGAGTTTCACCTATCAGATGCTTAACAAAGTAGCCATCCAGTTTTCCTATGATTACCAGTGTCCCCCATACCAACAAAGAGTCCGAGCAGGGATAGGGTTGGCAGAATCAGTGAAGGATGTGCAGCTTCTGGCTCTGTCTGCCTGACTCCTAGACCTCCCATATACCAACAGGAGGGCACTCACAGTGGCTGTGACCTGCCTTCCTTGGAAGTTGCACCAGATCCTTTCTCAGGGCACAGTAGCAGTGTCCTATATCGGCCATACTGTAAAAGCAGATGGTGGGGTCCCTTGATTGACTGAACAAAGCCAACTGCTTCAAAGGCTCTGAGCTTGGGATGAGGCCTGGGGGGAGTGCAGGGGCTCTGGACTTCAAGGCAGTTTCAGGCAGCAGGGATGGGACACCTGGGCCCCAGCCTTACCTCATCCTCCCTTTGGTGGCTGAGTTCAGTGGCCCAATGCATGGATAATGGCTCCAGGTCGATGGCTGTTGCAAAAGTAGACCTGGGAGTACCATGTGCCCTGTCGGGATCTATGTGTGCCTGGGACTGCTTCTGTAGCATGCTGAGCCACAGTGCAGGTCATATGGGGCCACCTCACCCCAGGTACCTAGGACAGGGTGGAACCTACCTGCAGGTAGATAGCAGCAGCTCCTGCCTCCGGCTCAGATCCACCAGGCGCTTGCGGTAGGTCCGGGCCGCTTGGGCCAGCTGTTGTTCTCGGCTCCGGTGTGCGGCCCGAATGTCCTGCAGAGTGGCCTCCAGGAACGTCTGAAGGGCTGCCTGATCTGTACTGTTGGCAGTCTCCTGGAGGAGATCGGATAGGACGAAGCTAGGGTTGGGGCTGGCTTTGGATTAGGTTAGGCAGTCAAACTGTAGGAGTTTGTAGTCAAACTGGGCTTGAGTTGGGTAGGCTGGCACTTGACTGAGCCCAACCTCACCTCCTACCACAGCTGGCTGTGCAGGGACCTAGCACCACAAAGTTCCCCATATCTGGGTGTCCAGCACGCCCAGGCCAGGCTCACATTCCTCAAGACTCAGAGGCCATTCCGACTGCCACAGAACCTGACAAAGTGCTCACCACTGTCTCTTTGGCATAGCGCTGCAGCCGGACAGCATACTCCTCATTCAACTTCTTCAGCTGCAATTGTAGCTGAGCATTCTCAGCTTCAGCCTGCCGGAGCTGATCCTGACAGGTCGACAGCACCTGGAACATACAAAAGGCTCTGGTTCTGTTTGTAGGACTCCCTCCTGCTAGATCTTGAGGCTCATAGGGTGGGCAAACCCTCACCATTGCTTGGGCAGCCAGCCGCTGACCGGCTGCCCTGGCTTCCTCTTGGGCTCTCTGCAACTGCCGGCCTAGGACTGCCCTGTGAACACAGTACAGGTGCAGCTAGGCCAGAGTGAGGCGCTCTCTCATCCCCTGAAGAAGGACCTTGCAGGCCACTGGGTTCTGGGCAAAGCTGGTTCTGGGCAAAGTGAAACTCACACTCGTGTCTCCAGTGCCTGCTGTCTGACTCTGTGATGCTCCAGGACCCAGTTCAATTCTCCCTGCAGCTTCTGCTGGTGAACAAAAGCTGGCTGTGTGAGAGGAACCCCCCACTCCTCCACCCCCTCACCCCCGTGCTAGGTGGCTGTGGACTCACGTTGCTCAGGGTCTCAGGCTCAGAGAGTCTGTCTTGCTTGAGCTGCACCTTTATGGTTAGAAGGGAAGCAAGGGGGGGGGGGAGAGGAGGTGAGGGGAAGGGAGGGGGCAGTGGGTACTTGTTTCACTGCCCCTGTGGAGGTGCCCAGCCCAGCTCTCTACGTGCTCATGGTGACCTGGAGTCTGTTGTAGGTGACACATTCAGGCCTGGGCTTCTCCACTGACCTCTGGTGGTGGCACCTTGTGTTGCCCCGGATTGGCTGCTGGTTGGACTCCATGTCCCCGGCAGTCACCATTTCCATGCAGTTCTAGCTCTAGCACCCGACTTTCCAGTCTAAGAACCTGTGGACATCAAGGATGAGCAGGCTATTTGCTGGATCACCTGCAGCACTCGCAGGTATTCATGCAGGAGCATATACACAGGGCCGGGTAAAAGCCCACAAACACAAAGTGCATGTTTATAACCAGGCACCTAAACCCCTTAATGGTGTGTGTCCTGGGTGCGCACTCTGTTCCTGGATGCGCCCAGGCTGACACACTTAGTTTGCTTGGCTACTCACTTCCCTCTTCAGCTCGAAGACTTCAGCTTCATGCTGTTCACGAAGGCGGTGGGTTGCAATCTGAAGGTCAACTAGCTCCTTGGAAATCTGTGGGTAACCAGGGTGAGAGATGCTGCCAGTGGCTTTGTGGGCTCTCTGTTCCTACAGAACCCCACAGCCCCACATTTACCTGCAACCGCTGCTTCTCACTGGGCTCTGGATCTGTCTGATACTCTCCCTCCAGGCCTGTAGCCCAGGTGGGCTGTCCAGAAACTCTTGGTAGCCAATCCTCAGTTCCTGGAACAACCTGGGAAGGCACCCCCCCCCCCACATTTAGGTGGATCTCCAGCCCGGGCTGTGGACCCCACTCTTATAGAGGCATTACGTTCCTCTTGAACAAGGTCAGTTCCTTCCCTGGGCAGGAACAGACACAAGATCCAGGGACTTGTTCCCTTCTGGTCTGTGAAGGAAAGGAAGGACCCCAAGGCAACATCCGTGTCCTGGAAAGACTCACATTCTCTGTGACTTGAAGTGGGACACCTGGCCTGGGGCTTGGGGCTGCCACATACTCCATAGTGGAGAGAAATCCTGGCTAGGGATCTGTCTGATCGTGGCCTGCTTCCCGGCTGTTGCTGTGAGTGTTGCCAAGGCCTCTGTTGATCTTAGAGATTACCCATCCTGCCTACAAGGAAGGGCAAGGCCGTTCAGTGCTCATGAAGAGGGGAGTGCTCAACTCCTTGCACATTTCACTCTTTCATGGGCCCCATGCCATCTGGGAAATATAGAAAGGCAACCAGTTTATTTCAGGCCAGTTGGATCCAGAAGTGCAAGACGACGCCAAACCTGTACTGCAATTGTAGGCACTATTTGTCTTTATGTGGGAAATTCTGGCCTCCTGCAGGGATTTGTAACTAGAGTCTTACCTATCTTCTTGTGTCAGCCGAACTCACACCAGCAGGTGAACAAACTGGACACACCCTTCTGTCGGAGAGAAGCGGGCATAATCAGGGGCAGTGGACCGCACGAACTAGCTCAACATGGGCATCAGGAAGGATAAGTTGGAAGAGGTGCCCTTTCTTGATGCTGGGTTGGAGCACGCTCACCATCCCACACTGTGCTCTATTGGTGCCTGTTCCCTTTTGCGCATGCGCAATTCCTGCAGTCGTTTGTCAGGTCTCAGCGCTCAGGGTCACGCCCGGAGAGAGGGGGAGTGTGGTGGGCAGAGGCCACGACCTGTCAGGGACGCTAGACTGGCGGCTTACGTGTGGGTGAGAAGGGAATGAAGTCGACCCAGATCTTGGGGTCTCACTGTAGCTGAGAGAGGCGGGGCCTGTGAAGGAAGGCAGAACCGGGGGCGGAGCTAAAGGAAGCCGCATTGCTGTGTAACTTTTGGGGGAAGGTGAAGTTGGTACAAGGGGCTCCGGCCCCTGAGTTTTGGATCTGAAGTGGGTCCTCTGAGAAGATCTTGGGCAGCGGAGCAACTCTTTCTTTGTACCCCCAGTGTGTGTGTGGCTGACCCACCTCGTACAGCTCAGGAGAAGGGATTCACTAGGCTGTGTTGCCTCTTCTGGAGAAGGTGTGGACTGGCTGAGGTCTGCGACCATGAAGGTCAAAGTCATCCCGGTACTTGAAGACAACTACATGTACCTGATCATTGAGGAGCACACACGGGAGGCAGTGGCTGTGGATGTGGCTGTGCCCAAGAGGGTGAGGACCGACAAAGAATGCCATCAAGGGATTCCCTACCACTCTGGTTAGAGCAGACTCCTATAGTTTTATGTCATTTGATATATTATCTTTGGGTTCCCCTGAAGTTACAGCTACCTTTGATGTTCGTGGTGCTCCAGTTCTTGTAATTGTCTGCCCGATATTTCCCCTAACCCTTACTGCTCTGAGTCCTGGGCCTGCCTGTAGAACTAAGCCCTGAAACTAAGGATGGGTGGCCCACGGCACTACACCTCCATCCTTTCCAGCTGCTGGAGGTTGCCAGCCGAGAGGGGGTGTCTCTGACCACGGTGCTGACCACCCATCACCACTGGTGAGTAGAGGGTGTGCGCGCAGGCCTAAGGCATGTTCCTTCCCTAGCACCTCGACTTGACCAGGCCCCTGCACTTTCACAGGGACCACACACGTGGAAATGCAGAGCTGGTGCACCTGCAGCCAGGACTGGCGGTCATGGGAGCAGATGAGCGCATCTGTGCACTAACCCGCAGGCTGGCACATGGGGAGGAGCTTCAGGTAAGTATGCACCCAGAAGGGGTGGGGAGGGTCCTGACCTGGGCCTGCCCACCAGTCCTCACAGGTCCAATGCCTCAACATCGCAGTTTGGGGCCATCCACGTGCGGTGCCTCTTGACGCCGGGTCACACCTCTGGCCACATGTGCTACTTCCTGTGGGAGGATGAATGCCCGGACCCACCAGCCCTCTTTTCTGGTACCTTGCAGCCTGGACTCGCCCACTTATGCAATTCCGCTGTGCCCTCCCTACCCCTTCTGACCCTCTTTCCTCCCTAGGGGATGCTCTGTCAGTGGCAGGCTGTGGCTGGCATCTGGAGGACACTGCCCAGCAGATGTACCAGAGCTTGGCCAAGACTCTGGGCACCTTACCACCCCAGACGGTGAGAGAGCCTTCTGTGGGGTTCACATGCTTGATACTGGAGTTCTCCCTGGTACAACCTGTGCTTCGGTGCCTGTCCTGCTTTGGTAAAGTTGGTGTAGACCCGGGTGGGTTGGATGCTAGGTTAGGGATGTGTGCCTGCCCCTCCTTTGGTTTGGGGTGATCTGTGTTCACTGAGCTTCCTCTTCTTACAGAAGGTATTCTGTGGTCATGAGCATACACTGAGCAATCTTGAGTTTGCGCAGAAGGTGGAGCCCTGCAACAACCATGTGCGAGCCAAGCTGTCCTGGGCCCAGGTGCATCCATTTCTGGCTCCAAAACAGGGATGGGGCAGTAGTCTTCCCGAAGTTTGGGGAAAGTCATGGAGAGTCAGAATGACACCTCTGCTGGCTCCAGCTGGCTGGAGACCTTCTGTCACCTACCCTAGTCTCCCTGTGGCTGTCAGGTGTCAGCCCAGCTGTGACCAGGGGCCTGTGCTCTTTGCAGAAGAGGGACGATGATGACATACCTACCGTGCCTTCGACACTAGGCGAGGAACTCTTGTACAACCCTTTCCTGAGGGTGACGTAAGTATGGCTGTGCCCTGGGCTTTTCTGTGGTGGGGCCTGAGCCATACCAGTGGGTGGGGCAGCCTCAAGAGGCTATGCACACTGCCAGCTGGAGTCTCCCCATGGAGTAGTCTCAGGACTAGCCTGGCATCCTTGGGGCCTCTTTGGCAGTCATTTGGGTAGTTAGTAGTATCCAGGGACTATTTATTGAGCTGAATGTCCCTGGCACCAGGGAAGGGCATTTGTTAAGGGCCCTCTTCCTTCCATCCACTAGCCGGCTGGGCCCCACCCCTATGGGCAGCTGGCCAGCCCCATAATTCCCCAGCATACTCTTCCCTGCAGAGAGGATCCAGTTCGTGAGTTCACAGGCCAGGTGGCACCAGCCCAGGTCCTGGAGGTGCTCTGCAGGGAGCGAGCACGCTTCCAGCTCGCTCTGGAGCCACCACAGCCTCAGGTTCGGGCACTCCTGGCCTTGCAGTGGGGACTTCTGAGTACACCCCAAGAAAAATGAGCCCTGGGTGGAGCCTGCTTGTCTCCATATCCCTTCCCCTGACCTCAGGCTGACTGGAACCCTGGCCTCCAGAACATTCCTCTCAGGCCCTGCCACTCTGCTCTGAAGAACCAACAAATGGTGCTTTCCTTCTCTCTACTGCTCATGGGGTCACACAAGTGAATCTCTGAAGGGGCTGTTGTGGGCCCCGAGACATACATGTCCTGGGAACTGACAAGGGTGAATAAAACTTGGCAAGGCCCAGTGTGGTGCCAGACACACAGCAGATGCTTCCAGAGTCGCAGACCTGTTTATTAGTGGTGAGGCTGGGTGAGAGCCAAGCTCAGTGAGACTCAACTACGGTTCTCACAGCCACACAGGCTTGGTGCTGACAGACTGCCCAGACAGCAACGCCCAAGGGAACAGTCAGGTTTGACACCCACTAGGTTTCGGTTTGACACCCGCCCTATACACTGTAGCTTCAGGGGTTAGCCACAGAAAGGAAACCTCTCATACACAGGCTACTATAGCCAGAGGGCAGGGCAGGGAATATGCCCATGGCCCTGGGCCAGAAGAAGAGATTCTGGAAACTCATTGAACCTTTAGCCTCCTTGGCCCCCACAATCCTGCCTGCACCCCCACTCTGCAGAGCTCAGTGTGGAATTGGAAGTGCACAGGCCATAGGCAACATTACCAACCAGAGGCACGCAGGTCATGTGCTCAAGGAGCCGTGTGCAGCCAGTGTCCCACTTTAGCACAGAATCCAATACATCCTTGTAGCTCTCCTTGAGTTCTGAAGCTCTCTGGTGTCTTCTGTTGCTGATACCCACATGGTCTCTGGGAGTCTTGGAGTTGGCTCCTGGGGCTCTCTCAGACTCTTGAGGCCTCCTACCACCTGATGCTGAAGCCTGAGTTGGTCTTCTCCACGGCATGGTATTGCGTGTGCAGCAAGCGGCTGGCCTGCTCAGAGCCCTCCCCTTGCAGCCAATGCTGGTACAGCTCCTGGACCCCAGGGGCATCTTCGGGTGCCTCATTCCTCACCATGCTGTACAGTCTTTCCACTTGCTCGAGGAGCTCCCTGCCTTGCATATCTGGAGCCTTGAGCTGGCCCCCTCCATTCAAGCAGCCTGTGGCAGAGTACAGGGCATGGTGGTGGAAAGTCAGGGTGAGCTCCCTGACCCCCAGGTGTGGAGACGGGACAGGCCCCCCTCCTGTCCAACCCCTTCCACCTCCCACTGGTGGCAGGCTGCTGTGCTACGCTATGAGGAACTACCTGAAGGGCAGGCCATGACTTCCACATAATGGTAGGGACAGCGGCCTCGTTTCAGTTTCTGCACAAGGTTCTGGATGTTGCGGAAGCCATAGGCCACAGCAAAGCGCAAGAGCACCTGGCCTTCCCTCTTCAATGTCACCTCCTGGAAGTCCTTGTTCCTGAAAGTGTAGGAGCAGGGTTGGGAAACCTCACATTTCCATGCAGACCTGTCCCTGTGCAGATGCAGAAGTCTCTGGGGCTCAGCACACGACCATATGGCTCTGTCCTCTTCTGTTTGCAGGCAGGGAAGGGATGATGGAGGATACAGCTTGTATTCCTAGGCCCACCAGGCAATCTCACCCCAACCTTGATCTCCCTAACTAGCACAGGGCAGTCATGAAGCCCAGCAAGGTATGACAGCCCAGCCCCAGGGGCTGTCCCCATGCCAGGCCCCGCTGGCCCTTGCATGTATTGCCCAGGCTCAGGACCCCTACTGAGGAGATTGAGGCGAGTGCTCACGCCTCACGCTCATAAGAGGAGGCCCACTTGTGCAAAGGGATCCAGGGGTCTTTTCCCCCAGGTTCACTTCAGTGCCTGCCCTGCTAACCTCATGGGTTGGTAGGTAACTTCCGTCACATGGATTCCAAAGAGCTCTTGGGCCGCGTGCCGGAACACATGCTCCAGGTAGCCTCCTGAGCCGCCACCCCGATGGCTGGTGGGCTCCTCAGCAGACACACTACTGGTTCTGGGAGAGGGGCGGGTCAGTGCAGGAGGCTGGGGCTCAATACAGCTGAAGTCCCTTGTAGTCAGACCTTAAGAACTGTTCTTATGGTGGCCCTGGGAAGCTCAGATGGCTTCTAGAGCAGGCTTGCTTTGACACTGTAACTCAGCCACTCTTGGGCCCCAGCCAGGCTCTGGGGAGGTCTGGAGTCAACCAGAAGGCAGCCTGGGTAGAAAGGAGGGGACAAGACACTGCCCCACCCCACAGGCAGCATCTGATCCCAAATATAGGTTCTCAGTCCCACCACCAACTCACAAGCCATCCAGGGGCACAGGCTCCAGCTCCATGAGTGAGACTCCTTCTTCCTCCAGCAGCCTAAAGACTTCTCCTGCAGAGGACACAGCACATGCTCTAGTTGGTCTCAGAATGCCAAGTGTCTGTGTTCCCAAAGGGACACTCATGCCAGTTTGTGGTGGGATGGCGAGTCCAGTCAGCCTCTTCAGACCCATTGGAAGGCATTCCTGCCTGGAGCATTGTAAAGGGAACCAGGGAGATCTTGCCTGCCCTCAAGACTCATTTCTGAACTAGCAAGGACACGATACTGGGGTTCCATTGGTCATAGGACCCTGGCGGCACTGCAGGAAGCCCCTACTGTCTACTGGACTCCAGCGCTTGGCTTGAGGGGAGCCCCGAGACCGCAGAGGCAGAGATCTGCAGGGTGGCTGCACCTGTAGTAAGGACGCAGTCCACGTCGCGGGTCTGGTACTCCTGGTTGAAGAAGTCAGGTCTGGACGCTTCTAGCTTTTTGTCATAGCAGGGCATCACTGTCACATGGTAGATCTTGTCTGGAGTCAGATGCTACAGAGAGAGCACCGAAAGCTTCAGTCCCATCTGAACCAAGCTCGGAAGCGGCCTCACTGAAACGTGAGTGGCCACTCAGGTCACTGCCACCCTGTGACCAGGTCATACATCATCTCCTGCTTCTGTCC